CAGCTCCTCTCCGTTCATCTGCTTGGCCTGGTTGAGAGGTGTGAAGACAATTTCTTGCGGCGGTCGCGCCTCGTACGTGAAGGGTCCCTTGATGGTATCCAAGTCGTGAGTTCCGATGGCGACTAGCGTACGCTGGCGGGCGAGGTTCTGGTGTAGCTTGTCTTGAAGGGCGATGAAGGAATCGTAGTTCTTCTGCGTGAACTTGACATTGCGCAGGATGGCGCCACCAACCAGCGGTCGCACTTTCGTAGTATCCTCGAGGACAGTAATGGTATGCAGGTCCCCGGAGACGGGTTGGGCTAACTTGATATTGGGAGTGGGTTGCTTTCCCCGGAAGATGTTGAGCATGAGGGCTATACCCTCGAAGCAGAGCAAGTCATATCGGTTGGCGGGGATCTCGATCTTTAGCTGGGGAGGTTCTTGAACGCCATCCACGATAGGTCTCTCTTCATTCTCGGTATCTTCGTCCAGCTCGATACCAAACTCGAAACACAGCTCTTCGAACTCGGCGGTGGTGAAGCTGGGTGATGGTATGTGTTAGTGGGGTAATATTCAGGGTCGTGGAGGGTGGAGGGGTCGAATGGTTACGAACTGTTGACCTAGAGCCTCGTAGAGGTCATATTTGTTAACTGATATGGTAGGCATCTTCTATATGGCCCCTTGTGAGGGTAGAATAGAGCCTAGAGGCCGAGGGTATTTGCGCAATTCGTTATTTCGAGGAATTGGTCGGTCCTGGGTCCTGAGTCACCGTCGACTTTGGAAATTCATTTGGGTTGCAGTTGTACAATACAACCCCACCATAAGATATGCTTTATGCAATAGCGGGTGTGCGACCTACTTTAGCGCGGATATTATCTAAAACGGAAGTTGAGCCTCTATCAAATGGCAGAATGGCAAGAGGGACAAATACGTCAATAGCCCTTACATAGGTAACCAAGTACCTAAACTTAGGTACCTATTACCTACAAACAACTTGTATAAACCAAGTTCCGTTAGTTTATCTATTTCTTCTTTACGGTTTCCTGAACCTATCTTCGTTATTGATGAAGAGATTTACTTCTCTACCTAACAATTGTAAACTGTTTCCGGCAGTTATGATATCTTTACGAGTGTAACTATGTATAAGTCACACTATCTGCTACCTGATGACTGACTGATAGTTCACACCTCCCGCCAATCAGTAAGCCAGCAATTCGTCAAAGCTGTCAGACCTATAAGTCGCCTGTGGTATAACAAATAAGAATTATAGAGTGACATCACTGCTTCCAGTTACTGCATTTGGCCACATCGTGAAGGTGTTCCATTACATAGCATACGCAGCCCAACGCTGAGCTACGCTATACAAGCCTAAAATGTATATGGTATAAGCGCTAACTTGATACAATTTAAATCTGCTTAGAGGGAGGTAAGAATTAAGAGACGGCTTTGTTTTCAAATAAGACACGTTTAGGAATGTACGTAGATAATCACCTGTAGCCTAGGTACCTGCCTCCCAAATACATGAAGCTGATAAGGTTTCTAAAATAAAGGTAAAAGAGTAGCCAGGGGTGTAACGCGTAGCAGCACTGTCCAATTTAGGGCGGGGAAGTGCATGTAACATAGGGTACATAGGTACATGATTTCAAGGTACCTGGGTACGTAGCATGATGACAAGGGAACAGAAATGAGATGTGGGGCATCTGTGGCACCTGGGCAGAGATTTCCATCATTTACCTCAAGCCAGACAAGACCAGACAGCGCCTAAGCCACAGTACTTCGTATTTTCAGAACTAAGAAGTCAAGGCAAGCCCCTTTTGTTACCTCACTTACCTCACTTACCTCACCTGCCCATGCCTGATAATACCTGAAGTAGGTGCAGAGGTACGGTACAATATTACGGTACAATATCAAAGTACCTAACATAGCAGCTCCAGCCCGCGTTAAACCTATTTCCACCAAAAGCATCTTTCTCTTGGTCACAACACAATCCCATCCACCAAAGCGACCTGCCCATGATACCCCTCGATGATCTAATTTGGAAGACCTGATCCACGATTAACCGCGAACTAAAGACCAACCGTAGACGACTCATACTCATCAAATTTACAAATTTACAACTCCGCCCATTCAACCTATACTATTTTTTTTTTTGGCTACCGGAGCGCTAGCGATAGTTGATCTCTACCCGGTTTCGTCTCCAAGTCGCCAAATTGACCCGACATCGACCTAACTCATTGCATCACTCTACCTCTACCAGACCGCCCACGCGATCAGCAAGCGCACTCCCAAGCCGGTTCTCAACTTGCCGGCCTCAACGCCTTAACCACCTTTCCATTTTACTATTGCATAATTACACCTCACCATGGCTGACGCGCCAAATGCGAACGATGAGCTGTACCCTATCGCCGTGCTCATAGATGAATTAAAGGTGAGGCGGTAACCCCCCACCCCATATATCATATATCACCACATATTAGGACCTCATCCTCTCTAACCTTGCCATTAGCACGACGATGTTCTGCTCCGATTGAACGCCATCCATCGTCTATCGACAATCGCGCTCGCTTTAGGTCCCGAGCGCACTCGTGACGAACTCATTCCCTTTCTAGATGGTCAGATACCGACCCCAGCCTCTAAGCCAAACCATAATCTAACTTCAGCATCAGAATCGGTCGAAGACGAAGATGAAGTTCTCGTAGCCTTGAGCGAGGAGCTGGGCAGCTTCATCGAATACGTAGGCGGGCCCCAATACGGTCATGTCCTCCTCTCCCCCCTCGAGAACCTCGCAGCCATCGAAGAGCCCGTCGTTCGGGATAAGGTCCGTCCATACAGCCTTGCCGAATCCTTCCTCGTCGTCGTTTACTAACCATCTCTCGTAGGCCGTCGAGTCTCTCAACAAGATCTGCAGCGAGCTGTCACCCCAGCAGGTCGAAGAGTACTTCGTCCCTCTCACCATCCGACTTTCTAAGGCAGACTGGTTTACCTCCAAGGTGTCCGGCTGCGGCCTCTTCACAGCTCCTTACTCGAAGGTGTCTCCCCCCGTCCAGGAACAGCTTCGCCAGCAGTTTGGCCACCTAGTACATGATGAAACCCCCATGGTGCGAAGACAATCCGCCACCAACATGGCTAAGTTCGTGAAAGAAATGCCCGCGGCTATCGTCGTGGAGGAGATGATACCCCTTTTCCAGCACCTCGCGCAGGATGACCAGGACAGCGTGCGATTATTGACAGTGGAGATTCTGATTTCTATCGCCGAGGTCGTACCCAAGGAGCAGCAGGGTAGCCATGGCGTTCTGCTCACGTCGTTACGAAATTTGATAGAGGACAAGAGCTGGAGGGTTCGATATATGATTGCTGATAGATTTGAGAAGGTATCGACCCCCTCCCTTGCTTCGTGTTTTGTATAGCCCGGGCTAATGGCAAGCGATGCAGATTGCGAAAGCTGTAGACGAAGAGGTGGTCACTCGAGACCTAGTGCCCTCGTTTGTTAAGCTGCTGAAGGATAACGAGGCCGAGGTTAGGACTGCTATCGCCGGCCAGATCCCCGGCTTCTGCACTTTGGTCGATAGGACTACGCTGCTTAACGATATCATGAGCTCCATCGAAGACCTGGTTTCCGACACATCACAGCACGTCCGTGCCGCTCTAGGCACGCAGATCAGCGGCCTAGCCCCGATCTTAGGCAAACAAGAGTAAGCCTATCTACGAAATCTTGAGATCCTAGCCACTGACCTTTTTTTTTATTTCCAGAACGATCGACCACCTTCTTCCAATGTTCTTGCAGATGCTGAAGGATGAGTTTCCCGAAGTTCGTTTACATATCATCTCGAAACTCGAACTTGTCAACCAAGGTATATATACCCCCGCATGACCCCATAGAGGCTCGCGTTGTTAACGTTATCAGTCATCGGTATCGACCTACTCTCCCAGTCTCTTCTGCCCGCGATCGTGCAGCTCGCCGAAGATAAGCAATGGAGAGTACGACTTGCTATCATCGAGTATATCCCGCTCCTTGCCAGCCAGCTCGGCGTACAGTTCTTCGACGAGAAGTTGAGTTCGTTATGCATGGGCTGGCTAGGGGATACGGTTTTTTCGATCCGAGAGGCTGCAACTCACAACCTGAAGAAGCTCACCGAAGTGTTCGGAGTCGAGTGGGCTAGCGAAGCTATCATCCCGAAGGTGATGGCTATGGGCTCTCATCCTAATTACCTATACCGGATGACGACTTGCTTCGCTATCTCGGTAAGTTTCCTTGCTATCTCCCAGCGCTTTTCATTAGATTTTAACCAGCCGCAGACCCTAGCGACCGTTGTCAGTTTGGACGTGATTGGAAAGTCGATTTTGCCTATGCTAGAAAAGCTTGTGGAGGACGAGATTCCCAACATACGCTTCAACGTGGCGAAGACGTACGCCGTGCTCATCGACGTTTTAAAACGACTCCCCGAAGAGGGTACCGTCTACAGTCTGGAGAAGGCCGGAACGACGACGACTACGCCGTCTCCTCGGGCAGCAGAGCTCATCCAGCAGCGCATCCTGCCGAGCCTAGAGAAGCTGCAGAAGGACGACGACGTGGACGTGCGCTACTTTGCGACGACGGCGGTAGCAGGAATTCCCGGAATGGGTGGGGAACCTATGAACACATCGCCGTAGATGAAAGATTAAAGAGAACTCTTTCGACATGCAGCCATGTACTAGAGTGTCCTAGTTGCACCTCTCGCGAGATAGCCGTCCCGAATTGTCCAGCGCCAGTTCGTGCAGGGGTCCTTCAGAAGGCGAAATTTTGAAGGTCCGTAGAGTAGATGTATGGGAGGCACGCATACAATCGTCAAATGCATTTTTTGGAGGTTTGTGTCCTACTCGGCGTTGAGGCCCGTGGGACTTGAAAGCTGCACAGACTTCTATAGAAGGGCTTCGAGCCAAGAGCCCCGAACGGGCGCTCTCGTCTTTGAAGTTGCCTGATATGTGTATGATAAAAGACGAAAAAAAGAGCATGATGAGTTTAATAGATCTCAGTCAAACAGGTTCGCAGTGATGCTGTTCCATCCTTCTAATTGTACTCTACCGGGGTATCTTTCCTAGGTTAATGCACTCCTACGTCTATATTTGTACCGCCCGTGTTAATTTCAAGTATCCCTGACTTTCTTGAAGCATAAAGTACTAATGGTCTGCCCCTTTACGCCCCCAAAACTAAAGCTGGGGTACTCGACCCTGCCGACTAGGTCAAACCGCCATCCTCTCGCGTCGCCGTCGTCCTCCCCATCCTTTCTAACGCCCTCGAACCAGCTCTTCAGTTCCTCTTCGGTCCAGTTGCAGCTCGTAACGAGGAACAAGCCCCCATCGCGTATAAGAGGCGCAACCCGCGCCCTATACGATTCGCTGATACGTCGTCCGCTCGCAGGGTCCGTCTCGGACGATAGGGATATCGCATCGAAGGTTCCCTTATCTAGTACGACGTCCCAGCCTCGCGGTTGCTGCGCGTCAGCCAAGAGCGCAGAAGCCGGCGTTCGAAGGATGTCGTGCTCGCGGAACTCGACCGGCTCTTCGCTCCCAGCAGCGTCCGGGCCTTGTTGCGACCGCGACTCGGCGATGCGCCGCGCGAACTCGACGCTCTGCCGCGAGTAGTCTACGCCTAGCATGCGCCCTTGCCACGCGGCGTCGCGCAGGCCGAAGAGGAGAGACCCGTTGCCGGTGCCGAGGTCGAGGAAGGAGGTGGATTCTGGGGAGAGGTGTAGCTCGAGCTCGGGATCGGGGTCGGAGAGGAAGTCGATGACTTTGGCTTCGGCGTCCGAGTCGTCGAACCAGACGGTGCCGGTGTCGGCGGGGTTGTGCGCGTGGTTGGAGATTTCGGTTGTGTAGAGGTTGTCCCAGCTGTTCGTTTTGGTTTTAGATTATTGAGCTGATGGAGGAGAGAATGAATAGGTGGGTGGGCATACTATTCCTTGGTGCCGAGCTCGGACGGCTCGAGGTGTGTTGGCTTAGACATTGTAGCGGTGCTTGTAGAGTGACTGGAGGTTTAGAGGCCAATTAGTTCTGGTAGCTACGCAAGAGAGACATATTGAATTATAAAGCTATGGTTACGACGCTATTCTGGATTGGACCTAAATCACACACTTCACGATGAGAATGGAATCGCAATCTTTTACTTTTAGAAGGTGGGAGGTCAAAGGAGGGGCACGCGGCAGAATGGTACAAGATAGGTAGGCGGTCTAGTATCTTGCTTGATAATCGAGATAAGATAAGATGAAGTATGCCGCCAAGATAAGTGACCGATAAGCGATAAGAATCATTCACCTAACCTAAACTTTTCTGTCGTCACCCGCGAGCCGAATCTCATCTCATTCGGGTTCCCGTGTAAAACGTCTGTCGCAAATTCGATGTCCTCAGTATGTTTCGCGCTTGCTCGTCTAGATACTTGAATAGAGGTCTTACCTCTCCTGTACGATCATGCGCTAGGGCATTCCGACCGCTTCAGACTCGTACGCTCGCCACCGTGAAGGTGCCAAGTCCAAAGGTGCGTTGATAATCCTACGTCTTCTTTCATCGCCTTCACTTGTAAACTAACATAAAATAGGAGCCAACAGAGCTCGACCAAATAACAACATTACCCAATGGAGTCCGAGTAGCATCAGAGGCTCTACCGGGGTCTTTCTCTGGCGTTGGCGTATATATCGAGGGCGGATCGAGATTCGAGAACACTCACTTGAGCGGGGTGAGCCACATCGTTGATCGATTGGCCTTCCATTCTACGGAGAACAAGACGGCAGAGGATATACAAGAGACGGTGGAGTCACTAGGAGGAAATGTACAATGCGTATCCTCCCGGGAGTCCATGATGTACCAAGCCGCCACCTTCAACTCGGCTATCCCGACGGCGACAGAACTGCTCGCCGATACGATACGGAATCCCCGAATCACGGAGGAAGAGGTTGCCGGAGAGCTAATGACGGCCGAGTACGAGATTAATGAGATATGGAAGAAACCCGAGCTTATTCTGCCCGAGTTGGTGCATATGGCGGCCTTCAAGGGTAACACTCTTGGTAACCCTCTTTTATGTCCTCGGGAACGGATACCGGAGATCAACAGTTCGGTAGTTAAGACATACAGAGACACTTTCTACCGTCCCGAGCGGACCGTTGTCGCCTTTGCCGGTGTGCCGCATGCCGAAGCGGTGCAACTAGCATCCAAGTTCTTCGGAGATATGCAAGCTCCTGGACACCCTCTCCTGTCTCGGACGGGGTCAGAAACTTCTATCGATTCCTTGTCATCGGATACCACCGACACTTCAGCTTCTTCATTTTCCTCAGCCTCATCAGCTTCATCACCTCCCTCATCAACTACATCTAGTATATTGTCCAAGTTACCCCTATTTAAAAACCTCTCTACTTCCGCAAGCCGCAACGCATCCGTCTCTGCCACACCGGCGATCCCGCCGTCGCTAGAAGAACTCACCATGCCCGCGCATTATACCGGCGGTTTCGTCGCGCTCTCACCGCAACCTCCTTCCGCCAATCCCAATCAACCCGTATTTACTCACATTCACCTCGCCTTCGAGGGATTGCCCATCTCATCAGATGATATTTATGCGCTGGCAACGCTTAACACGCTTCTCGGCGGCGGCGGATCTTTCTCCGCCGGTGGACCCGGGAAGGGCATGTATTCAAGACTGTACACTAACGTGCTCAACCAACACGCTTGGGTAGAGTCTTGTATCGCTTTCAACCATTCCTACACGGATTCCGGGCTATTCGGTATATCTGCCCAATGCATCCCCGGCCGCACACAGCACATGCTCGACGTCATGTGCCAAGAATTGAGGGCGCTTACTGTGGACACCGGTTTTGCTGCCCTTGGCCATGCCGAAGTTAACCGCGCCAAGAATCAGCTACGTTCCAGCCTCCTAATGAATCTAGAGAGCCGAATGGTCGAGCTAGAAGATCTAGGCAGGCAAGTCCAGGTACACGGCCGCAAGGTACCGGTCCAGGAGATGTGCCAGAAGATTCAGAGCCTCACGATTAATGACTTGCGCCGGGTAGCGAAACAGGTTGTAGGGGGATTGGTACAAAACACCGGTAGAGGGAGCGGTGCTCCGACTGTGGTGCTGCAAGAGGCCCAACATCCATTCAATTCCGTAAAACAGATGTCGTGGGAAGAGATACAGGATAGAATATACAAATGGGGCCTAGGTAAGAGGTAAACGGTAAGGAACTTAGCCGCCTCCGACAGCAGCGAGGTTCCCACAAGCAATCATGCGCAATTTTGGGATCTATGATACGGCTAGTCCGAGCCTAGCCCCTGAGCGCTCTCGCTTCGAGGAGCCCCTTCAGTGTATAATGGTGTATATTAGCGATGAAAAGCGTCGGATTCTCTGTACGATGTAGACATGATCACAAAACATACCTGACTAATCGAGGCATTCCCAATCTCAGGTTTTAGAATAGAAGCACAGTACATAATCGTGGACGCGGACTACGAATAGGGGCAGCTGCCCTAAAATGCCGCGTAAGCTTGATGCTAATGAAGGATGAAGAGCATTTACGTCCTACGCCGGGACTCGACATGATCGGGTATATTAGCAGGAAGCGGAAATGAGTGTTCCAACGAGGTAGGACAAATACTGCTTCGAGTTTATGAACCTGTGGACTATATTACATGACTTCATTTGATAATCGTGCCAGAAGCTTCCTCTCCATGCTCTGGAGCAACGTGAACCGGCCTATGATTTCTGCTTCCAGCACGCCGACGCACGTTTTCCGTACGATATAGCCTATCTGGGTTCCACGACCGTCCGCGAAGTTGCAGACGCAGGGACACGGACCGCCAGATCTCGGCTCTCGATCGTGGTACCGGATCGCTACCTGGCGTAATCTGTGTCTGCTCCCGTGTTTGCTCTGCCGTGTCGGTCTAGCTATCTATCTATGGACCTGGTTCGGGCACCGGCGTGGGCGGTCTATCGCTGAAACTATATAAGTGGTAATGGGATAGGGTAGTAGAATATGACTAACTGGATCCCTATCGCCATGCGTCGTCCATCGCTTTGTCGGTAGCTATCGTCTAGCCTGCGTTGTATAACTCTTAGGTGCCTAACCTTAGGTACATTGCCTATATCGACACGTCTTCGCATATCAAAATAGTAAACGACAACACTTACCATGACGGCCATCACAAAAACAACACGCGGCCCCGACGGCACACAATCAACTCTAACATACCGTCTTCCTCCCCAGACAACCCCCTTTGCCCCCTCCCAAAGCCAGGCCATGCCATCCTCGTGCTCCTTTTCCGTCTACTGCCGTAGCCTGTCGTACTACGTATACTCGATGAACACAGCCGCGCACGACGCCCACCCCCTCGAGGGACAACACTGCCTCGCGGTGCAGGACCTCACGTCCGAGCCCCGCGTCGGCTACAACGCCGAGTGCTGGCCGGAGAACTACTTCGCGCTGTTCGACAACGAGTGGGGCGAGCTCAACGGCGCGCCGAGGAGCGGCAACGAAGGGAGCGCTTCGACGGCCGCGTTTCCCGGGGATAAGTGTCTGGCGGGGTGGACGGTGGCGTGCACGACGACCATCACGGCTGGGGGCGGCGACATAGACGATAACCACCGCATAAACAAAAACGCCGTCCATAACAACGGGTCTGACAACGGGAACGGGAACGCAGGCAACGAAAGAGCGCCCGAGCTCTACCCCCAAGCATGGTGCTGTCCCCCGGGCCAATGGACCTGCGCCACCGCCACCGCCCCAGGCGACAGACAGGCTCCCCAGCGGCTGTGCCAGAGCTATCTGACCGGGTCGACGAGCACCGACATCTGGATGTACTGGGATCCGGAATTCGACACCGAGGTCCCCGACGGCTCGACCTCGAGCCTCCTCGAGGCGTATACCTGGACCGCCGACGTCCCCGGGGAGCCGGACCCGGCGCACGCGGCGACGGTGTTTCGGAAGGTGTTTCCGCTGGTGCTGAGTAGTAGTAGCGCCGGGGCCGGGACCTCGGAGGAAGAATCAGCGGCAGCGGTAGTAGTAGTTACGGTGACGGATATCGTTACGCTAGAGCCGACCCCTGGCATGCCGTCGGCAGCAGCAGCAGCAGCGCGGGATAAGAGAATAATAGAACCGGTCACGGGGCTGCTACTACCGCCTGGAGGCCACATGCTGACGTCGAGGTGTCTAGCTGCCGTTCTGCTGGGGGCTGCTTTCGCGACGGCGGTCATGTCGTTTTTCGGATTTGCGCTGCTGTATCGCGAGAAGAGGAGGCGGGAGCGGAGGTATCGCAAGGGTTCTTCTTCTGTTTTCGCCACTGCTGACGACAATGCCGTTTCTACCTGACGTAAGGCGTCTATTAAGGATGGTGGAAAGAAAATGCGAAGTAGGAATTCTGTTGTTCTAGCCTTAGGAAGTGAAGACTAGTTAGTTGAAGGTTTGGCCAGCGTCTGAATTCGGAGTGTGTACCTTGTTTAGCGCTTGTGAGGATTGGATTCGTATCCTTGAGGTATGTTAAGAGTATAGGTAATTCAGTTTGCGATCTTCTTCCATCTATTGCTTCTTTGCTATTCTCTACTAACTAAATCATGATATTCAAAACCCACCTGTCGATTATATGCCGAAAATTCCCTTTATAGGATTATTCCAGCCGGTGCTCTCGATCTCGAGACCACCTTGGTACACTTTTATAGCTACCCCTAGCCTCACAATTCACCACTGGTTAAAAAGAAAAAAGACGGCAGATTTGTATAAGAAAAATCGAATCTATAAGACCTGTTTTTTCGTAGCCAATAAGTGCTACCATGACCTATCTATTAATTGTTTAAATGTGATGTTCCCACCTTTACTCCGTATGAAGCGGAATTCGAGATAATTCATAATTCATGAAACCGTCCTCTTCTGGTTCGCGTTGAACCTACTATACGGCATTGTGTGTTGTCTGCCAGACGTCTTTTATAATTATAACCCCCTGCCATGAAGAAATGCAAAGTTTTCAAACCCCCTTTTAAAATTCCCTCTTTCTTTTTTTTTTCTCTTTCCGGCAATATGCAAGTTGTCATCACTCATTGAATCTGGGCCATCCTCTTAGACATGCTATTGACGTGTTAGCTTGGGTACCATCGCTCGAGGGTCAGGGGCAACTTACAAATCATAGAAAGCAAATTGGCTAGGACTGCTGCCAAACTCATACACAAAGCGGGAAGCAAGATAACTTCCGAAGATGGCGCGAAGGTACGACTCGGGTACACGGCTGATGATGGTGTCCAGACCGATCTTGTCGATGAGCAACTTGGGCAAAGCATCTGCAAGAACGGACCTCCGAATCTTAGCGTTCTCCCATAGGTCTGACTTTTGAAGCTCTTCGTCTAGAGTCGTAATGGCGAGGGAAAGCGTGTCAGAAAGCACGGACCGCGGTGTGCCCGTCTGCTCGTGCTCTCGCCAGATCGCTTCGAATTCAAGACGAGCGTTTTCGCAAATTGTGGCTTGTACTTGCTTGACGTACGCCTTATAGAACTCGGGGGCTTCGCCATTCGCGTCGATGCACATATTCTCAACGAATCCCTCGTCGTCAAAACTGAGCGAGGCGAGAACCTCCAGAGACGACGAGGTCACACCACCCTTGTTAGCAGATGCATCCTTGAATAGGATGCAACCGGCCTTCTCGAGGCGCAACTTGGCGTCTTGGGTAATGAATAGATTAGCGCCTTCAACGATGTAAGGAATCGCCGTCTTGCCATCCTTGATCAGCTTGGAGACCGTAGAAAGGTCGATCGACTCGGGACGGCCACCGCAAGGAACGAAGATGTCAGTCAGGCCGGTATCTCTGAGATGATAGAAGTTGCGGAAGGACGTCCCGTTAGGAACAACTTCGCCAGTCGGCAATGTGACGTTGCTATCGTCACACAGGACTCTGAAGCCATCCTTGGACAGCTTGGAGAGGTCGAACTGCGAAATCATGACACGCTTCTTGGCCAAGCGTACGAGCTCATCCTTGTCGATTCCGTTGGGATCGACGAGCACACCAGACCCATCGACGATGGCAGTGTATTTCTCGTTGCTTAGAATGATCTCGTTGCTGCCAAGATCGCCATCCGGACCTCCGGTCTGCATCTTCCTCACCTGGGAGGGGTCCAAATTCATCTTTCGGTATATACCCTTGACATACTCGCGAACGGACAGCGTCGTCATGCCGTATTCGTCGTGAGGGATACCACCAAGTCTAGGCGACTTGCCGGTGAAGAAGGACTTCCACCACGGCGCACCTCGGGCGCGAGCGTGCTCGGTAGCCCAATCGACAAGGTCTGCGGTGTTCTCGTCCGGGCCTAGGAAAAGAATCTCTTCTTTACGGTAAAGATCTACAATGGGGTTCTTGATACCAGGGGTCTTGGCAGGGAGGAGAAGATCCAAGATACTATCAATGTACTTCTCAAACGCCTCCCGAGCACGGTCCTGCTGCGTGGCGTCGAGGAGGACCACACCCTTAGAACCGCCTTCGGGGATATCCTTGTTCTTGCGCTGCTGGGTGCTTGCGAGAGCATAGTTCTCATCGAATAGGTTCCTAGCATTGATCCCGTAAGCCTCCTTACTACGGGACTTGACAATTCGGATACCGCCTCGGGCAACATCCTTAAAGCGTAGATGAAAGCCGCGGGCTTCCGCACTGATCACGAGGAACATGCCGTACAGACGTCGAGGATATTCGATCTCCGGCAAGAAGGAGGGGTCGAGACGGAAGCTGAGAGCCACTTTTGTGGGCGTGAAGTAATTGGTCTTTAAGATGGCATTGTTGAAGATGCGGAAGGCTGTCATCACCATTTCATCGTGCTCATTAGACACTTCTCGGGTGATCGCCTCCTTAAGTCGAGCATCCGAAAGTACTTCTACAGCCGGTGTCGGCGCAACTACGCTCTTCTCGAAACCAGGACCGACGCTTAGATGTATGCTAGCGAATGCGGCATACAGTAGGCGTACTAAGTTAGGGTAGGATGTGATAATTTCAAGGATATAATCCGGCGTGAATGTCTCTGTACGGAGACGGCGCTTCAGCTTGGACAGGATCTCCACATGCGCCGGGTTCCTGGGATCTAAAGCTTGCTTGATGGACACGTACTCCGTGCCGAGGCGGTTGAGGAAGTGCTGAACGAAGACCCAGACGCAGTGACCATAGACGGTCTCCTGCAAGCTCAGAGCGCCAGAGGCAAACAAGGAGTGAAGTTTGTTCTGAGGTATGCAGTACAGAAGCGAGATCTCCTTGGTGATCTGGTGAATCGACTGTTCGATAGGCATGGGTTTGGTATCAAGATTCGTTGCCGGTTTCAGGTAGATACTCATGACTGTGATGCCGTTGGAGAACTGCTCTACGTACTTCCTGGTGCTTGTGACACCATAGTAGTGGTAAAGGTCGCTCATGGCGCTGAAAATACCCCTGGCAGTACGAGAACGGAAAGCCATGACGAGACGCTTCTCCTCGGACCCCTCGATATCAAAGACCTCGATGACGGGTCCAGTCCTGGTAACGGCGAGTTTGATAATGTCATCGTAGAGCTGCTTGGTATTCTTAGTCGCCTTCGTCAAGAACATACGATCACTAATGACCTCGAGACGCGTCTCGCCCGGCTCCGGGTTCGCATCCACAAACTGGCACTGGTATACAAAGTAGCATCGTAGAGAAGCCTTGGATGAACTGTCGTTAGAGATGGTACCATGGGAGCGGAATGTTTCAACCCTGAAGCGCTTGTTGGGGTCGGCATGGTCGAGATACTTGGTCTCGAGCCTGTTTTCGTACCGCGGACCGTGCAACGAGCTCTTACCAGGCTCGCTCGTGTCGATGTAGATGGCGTGGTCAGTAGCTTCCATGTCTAAGCGGATCTCCTCGCGCTTGTCCTCGCGGGCGTAAGCAGCAACTTTGGCAGCATACATAGAGGTGATGTGGGTCGCAATAACATCGACGCTTTCCATCTCGAAGTAGACATCGTCGATGCCTAGCTCGTTATAGAACCACGATACTTGCTCGTCAAGATGCGATTCGGGGATCCATCCTTGCTTAAGGATAAGGCTCTTGACTATTACATGTTAGAGAAATTGAGGATATCGTAAGCGTTGCCGACTGACCTTGCTCTATCTGTTCGCCACGCCCCTTAAACTCGGGCGCGATGTATCCCACAGTAGCGGAGCGTAGAACCCTATGGCCATTGCCGCCCAGAGTTCCCAGCGGTACTGAGAAATGGGTGGGTTGAGGCGAAGGGTGTCGAGAGACTTGGTCGGCACCCTGAACCTTGCCCAGCAGCTTGTTAGCCGGAACCGGGCTCGCGTTTGAGGCGACGCCGTTAGTCGTCATGATGATTTGAGTTGTAAATTCCAAAACCTCAAACGGATCTGAGTACTGGGGAAACCTATCCAGATTCAGGTCAGTCGTCTGAAGCGTCAACATCTTGATCACAATATTGGAGACAAGAAACCGAGCGGCCTGTGACTCGGGAGGGGAATAATGAAAAATGAAGGCGCACAGGAAGGCTCAGAGCCACGGGAAGGGATAGGATGGGAACAGAACAACAGGGAGATCGAGGGGGGAAGGGATGATCTCTTATACAGAACAAAACTCGAAGGGTGACGCAGAAGGCGTCATTGCTGCGTATAATGACTATCCCCTTGCTGAGCTCAAGGGACTACCCTAGAGAATGGCATCGAGGTATAACGAGCAAAAGACAAGATGAGATTACTGTAGTATAATAAGACAGGAGGAAACGGGTTCCGTAATTTTCAGATCCCATATTGCACTTGACAAGGGTGGCAAAACGCCGGCAGGTCAAGTAAGGCCAACCCAACACAATATTAGAATATGAAATAATACGAGTGCTGTTATCGTGTCCCGGATTATACGGACCAAAAATAACATGGAGTCAATCTCACCGCTCGATGCTTCGGGTAGCGTCGAGTTATGTCGACAGTCATGCTCCTGATAAGGAAACTAATAACACAAACAGGCTGAACAATAAGAGAGACGTAAGAGAGACGTACCGACAAAGCGTGAGAGGGTTGCTCCGGAATTAACTTAACGAACGCACGGGTCCACTAATAAGTCAATAGGGGACTGGTCGACGTAAAGAGCGACCTGCAAGATCTGCCCTCGCATGTTAGTTAGAGTTGGAGATACAGATGGTCGGTTAGAGAGGCAAGTGTATAAGGAGGTCTTGTACGTAGGTCCTGTATATGCAATACAACAAAAAGTACAAAAAGACGACAACAACCTTGGTGGTGTGGTTGGCCGGAAGGCTGATTGGCTAACTGGCTGCCGGAATAGGTTACAGGAATGAAAGTGGTACCTTAATAAATATGATGCAAGAAACCTCTACCTTGCTTCAA